GTAGGGGGGGTGGTGAGGACTTTTTCCCTATTTTTCTTTCTGGGATTGATTTTATATGATGGGTTGAGTTACAGGTGGTACAAAAGGTGAGCTCAAAAATGATGATCAGAAGACTCCTGCGTCGAGCAATTCATTTTTCGATGTGCCCGAGAGAGATGTAAGTTTATTAGACTGGTGATTATTATTTTGATGTTCTGAATTCTTACAGGTTTAAGTTAGATTTTGTTGGATTTGAAGGGTTGACTCTGGTGTTTATATATTGATTCAATTCTCAAGTGTTAAATTAGAAACAGTAGAATAAACTGGGGCAGTGATTAATTTATAGTTGGAAGAGCTTCCTATAAGTAATAATTTCTAGCATGATCATAATTTTAACTGTTTGAATTTTGCCTTATTTGAATTGGGGCGTTGCAGTATAACTCCTGCTATGTAGCTTCATGTTATTTTCTACTTGTTTTTCTTTCTCGGATAGGAAGCAGGTAGCATTAGTGTTAGTATGGTATCTCTCTATTCTTGGATTGATGGTACTACCTATGGTTTGATTGCATTATTTGCTTCAATTTTCTTAATATCTTGTTGTCGTTACCACCTTTTGCCTCTTTAGCCGAGGGCCTATCAGAAACAGCTTCTCTGCCCTCCCAAGATAGGAATAAGTTCTGCATACATACTACCCTCCCCAGACCCTAGTTGTGGGAACTCACTGGGTTTGTTGTTGTTTTATCTATAGTAGCAGAAAACTAGTGACTTCAATGTGTCATGGTGTCCTAGTATTTCGCTTAATTCTGTTATTTTGAATAGATTGATTCCTCAAAAATCTGAACTTTTATCCTTTTTCCCTCCTTCCCCTTTTCCATCTGATTAAGCTTTTGATGTGCTTAATATAGTTTACTTTTGGAATAGCTAGAAAAATAGAACACAGTGTTGTGAATTGACCAAAAAAGGAGTTTTGATGGGACGAAAATTGAATGATGCTTCGGTATTATCAGACTGTTGATTTGTTGTTCTGCTCGTAAGCTAATCACTTATTTGCTTCTCTTGAAGGAGGACTTCTCCATACCAAAACGCATTATTGAGAGTTCTATAAGTGTTCCATCTACAAGTTGCAAGTCTGATGGAGATAGAGATGGGTTTCTTCTGCCCGAGTTCAATGAAATTGTGAAGGAATTTAGTTTATCTTCAAAGGCTAATTTTTCTCCAAAGAAGGATGTTGAAACACCACAGCAGGACGCAGATTCACCCAGAGAACATAAAATTGTTGCGGATAACCATGAGCAAGAGATTAAGAACCTTAAGAATATTGTTAAAACTCTTAAAGAAAGGGAGAGGACTCTTGAGATCCAACTGCTTGAGTATTATGGCCTCAAGGAGCAAGAATCTGCTGTCATGGAGCTTCAAAATCGGCTTAAAATAAACAATATGGAGGCTAAGCTTTTGGGTCTTAAAGTCGAGTCCTTGAAGGCAGAGAAGACGAGGTTAGAGGCTCAAGTGGCTGACTATGCTAAGGTTGTGTCAGAGCTTGAAGCTGCAAAATTGAAGATAAAGCAGCTGAAAAAGAAACTCAGGTTGGAAGCTGATCAAAATAAGGAACAGATTTTATCCCTTAAAGAAAGAGTTTTGAAGTTGCGAGATGAAAAGAATCCTGTTGAAGCTGAATCAGATGTTCAGTTAAAGCCCGAAAAATTGAAGGACTGGGAGAGCGAGGCTGATGAGTTGAGGAAATTTAACCACAGCTTAATAGTAGAAAACTCGACGCTGGCTGAGAGACTGGAATCTGTTCAGATCCTTGCCACTTCTGTTCTGGGAGATGATGAAGTAAGTCTTTAATTCGCGAACTTTTATTTTCAACTTTGTCTATTTCATGTGCTTTGTTGACCTTTTATGTGTCGCAGACAGAAGCATTGGAAGAAGAAAAGCTACGACTGAGAAAGCAAAATGAAGACTTAGTAAAGGAACTTGAGCAGCTTCAAGCAGACCGCTGCAATGATGCCGAGGAACTAGTCTATCTTCGATGGGTAAATGCTTGCTTGCGGTATGAGCTGAGGAACTATCAGCCCATCCCGGGTAAAACAACTGCAAGGGACCTCAGTAAAACATTAAGCCCCAAATCTGAGAAGAAAGCCAAGCAACTAATTCTTGAATATGCAAATAAAGAAGGCCAAGGGGATAAGGGGATCCATGTTTCAGATATTGATTCTGATTGGTTATCCTCTCAAGCATCCTATCTTTCGGACTCTGGTGAGTTTGATGATACTTCTGTTGATAATTCTTCAGCCCATAAAACTGACGCTTCAAACAAAAGCAAAGTCTTTGGTAAGCTTATGAGATTAGTACGGGGAAAGGACCATCATCATGGTCAGAGTTCTCCGGAAATGGTTCACAGTACAGAAAGACGCCCTAGTTATTCTTCGGGGTACAACTCAGATACGGCTGCTATAGATGCTGGAGCTGTTAGGCTCCGCAGCAGATCAAGAATCTCATCTCAGGGTTCATCCAAACAGTTTATGGATTTCAATCCAGTATCTCAAGGTTCAAGGAACGTTAAGGGAGAACGCAACAACTATTTGACAGGTGTTAGGAGATATAGCGATTCATTGGATTATATCTCGAAACATCTTGCTGATTCACCTCGAGATAAAAGAAATAACCATGACCCAGAAAATGTCCAGAAATCTGAGCTGTTGAAATATGCAGAAGTTTTGCAAGGGTCTCGTTCTAAAACACCATTTCGTAAGAGATCAGCGTCAGTTAGTTTCTTCTAACTTTTGTAAATATAAAAGACTATACCAGTGTGCGCAACATGTTTCTTGCTTCTTTCATTTTTCTGTTTCCTCAAAATTATTGCCCCTCTTCAGGGATAGAGATAGCATAGGTTCAGTGGTGGGGAATCCCTTTATAATGGGAATAAACTTACTGCAACATGATTATTTCAGTTGTTAGTGTATGTAGTCCTATTTCCCAGTGTAACATAAAAACTAGTGCATCTTCTTACATGGAAGTTATAATGAGGAAATTTTGATTAGCAAAAGGAAACAGAGAAAAGACAATACTTGTGTTGTGTGTATTACTGTATTAGATATAAACATTTGATTTTCTATGTAGCTTCTGGTGTTTTTTATTTAATCCAATAAACCCCTTGACATGAGTGCTTATTCGTTGTCATATACGTTTAAAAATGAAAGTAAATATTGTTTCAATGAACATTTTGATCTCTTAATTATGACAGAAAGGAGAAAGTGATTTTTTCATGTGGAGGACAAGGAACCAAGTTCATGCGAGATCTTTTGATTCAAATGTGTTGCTCGGTCAATTTCATTTTTCAGCTTCCATCCATTAATGCAACTTGTGTAGTTGTGTTAAGTATACTGAACTATTGCTGCCCTTTTGTTATTTCTGTTATGTGTCAATTCTCATTAATGCAACGATTAAAGCAACTACGTGTGTTGCAGGAAACCCCCTAAAAAGAGCTTTGGCTCAATTCTTATTTACATTCCTTATAAGTACTTATATTTGCCATGAGCATTATCAAGGTCAAGACGCTAGACTTGTTAGGCTAAAACGGTCCAACGATACTCTTAACATGGTGTGATATTGTTCGCTTTGGGCCAAACTCACGGTTTTCCCCAAAAGGCGTCACGCCATTAAGAGTATCCAACTTCTTATAAGTAGCTTATTTTTTTCTACTTTCCATGTGGGATTTTGTTAACACACTCCCAATAATCTCCCCCCTTGAACTAAGTTCCACATGACCCATCACCATTTATGCGCAAATTTGGAGATTAACAGTGTGCCATCCACATGATCCTGAGTATTTGCGTTCACCGGAGCCCAAAGGTTGTGTATGCGTTTTCAAAGCTACGGGTAAAGATCATAAGCCCTGTAGACGGGCAAAGGTACTAAGTCGGCCCCACACCACACTCTACCATATCCATAGTCCTGCCAAACCATTAGCTCTGATACTAGTTATTGGGTTAAAACAACCCAAATATACTCTTAATATGGTGTGATATTGTCTGATTTGGACAAATATTCTTTTTTTTTTCCTTATTACATCCAAGGTGGGGAGGGGGAAAGGGGAAGGGAATGTTATACTATTGATGGATTTGAACCCCTCACCTTAACCGTAAGTTAAGGAACTCAGTAAGTGAGCTAACCTTCAATCCCGCTAGGCTTGTATCATTTAACCATTTAAATACATTTTTTCTTACAAATGGCGACACAAAAAAATGGAGGAAAAAAATGAAAAAACAGGGTAGGAAATTAAAATTTAGAGGGATATTTGCCTTTGATAAGATTTCGGGCAACTTACACAAATGTCCCAAATAAGTCTCAACTTACCAACCTCTAGCCATTAGTCATAAACTTACCAAAACTAGCCAAGCACATATAAAAATTAAAAAACCAAATAAATAAGGTTCTTTCTCTCAAAGAATCACATGCAAAAATCACCTTCCATAATTTTAAGCGTGATTAGTAACATTAGATACAAGACGGAAAGGAAATTTCATGGATGAGGCAGCGAATAAGGTGATGAAATAAAAAAATAAATAATATATATATATATATATATATATATATATTATTTATTGGAGGAAGATTGGAGGTGATTTGGACTGGTTTTGTATCAAAATTCGTAATTAAATCGAGTTCAAAAAATTCTTCTGCGATACATGTATCGAACATGTATCACACACACAGAGATATACATGGATATACATGTGATACACAATTGATACAAATATGATACATATGTGATACACAAATGATACACAGTGTGATACACATTATTTTTTTCATGTTCAGTGTTTACTTCGAATTTTCAATTCAAACCACTTCAAAACTTCACCAAATCATCCCAAAACGGAGTTCAAGCTGCTTAATATGTACCCAATCTATTCTAATAATACTCACTCAAAAGAAAGCAAAATTTTGATATTTTTTTGCTACAAATAGCTAATTGGCTAATATTAGTAATTTTTTATGAATTAACCAATTTTTATAATGAGCTTCTTAAAAATGGACATAGCCGGTAGTTTCCCTAAGATTTACCTATTTAATGTTGACTAAAGAGGAGTAAATATAATATCTCATATTTAAAATAAAGACATATTGATACAAAAATTAAAAAAAAAATTAAAAAAAAAAATAAAGGTATGGGAAAATGGGCCAAAGCCCATAAGAATATAACCTAATTATTGGCTACAAACGCAACAGTACAAAAGAGAACTTAGGAGTTGAATTCTTGGCTCTATGCAATAGCAAAACGTGAAGCAAACGAAGGGGAAAAAGAAAGTTGATGCAATGTTTGGAACCATATTGACAATGAAGAAAAATCTAAAGCTACTGATTATCTCGGGTATTACTTAACTTCAAATCTTTTAGTTTCTTTTTATGTGTTGTGGGAATTCCATGGGGTATTGAAAACTAAATACCAATAAGAAATATTATGGACATCAATTCACTGAGTTTCGGCAGAAGCAATCGAAGTCAATGGAAAAGAGGATTTATTTCTTTCTAGCGAAGGGATTTATGGAGTGGAGAAGAACAAGCTAGGTAATTGAATTCCCTTTTCCTTGATGATTTATCTGAGATTTTCTTTACTTAATACCTAGCCTATTATTAGTTATTGAATTGCTAACTAAGGGTAGAGACAAGCAAAGGGATTTTAAGTTGTTTTATATAGTGCAGTCATGGAGTATTAGATTGAATAAAGATTCTACTAGTTATACCAAGCATTCTACGTCACATGTTAGAAGTACTTGTAAAGTACAATGTGAGGACTATTTTGTGTCAAACAAATAAAATTCTTCTTGCCGTCTATATATAGTAGTAGTATCAATCAGATAATAAGAAGAAAAAAAAAAAACAAAGAGAACCAGATGCAACTCCTATCCAATTAAGAACTATAAAATTGATTAACAGAGAATCAATGGTCACATTTCAAAAGAATAAAAGCATGGAAATCAATTAAAGATGGCAGGAATTGACCAGTTGTGTTGGTAATTCACGAAGTTGATACATAGATTGATTTTGTAACAATATAGGTAGTTGAAGAAGTTGAACGAATGGCTCGAGGTGATGCTTTTGGTATCTCTGCACAAGTACTGTGAGTAGTAATCTTACCACAATTTGTGTTTTCATAACCTGCATGGTTTATATATGATTTTGAAAATAAATGTATTACCGATGCTTTGAAATTGCATGTGGGACAAGTCCTTTACTTGACATGATACCGAACAGTTTACTTGATATATTTACCGATTAATCTAAATGTTTGCACCGTTACTAGATATGTTTTACCGTTATTTGTGATGTTATAGTTACTTGAAGTATTCTAACTGTTACTAGACATGTTTTACTGTTACTTGAGACATGATTACTGTTACCGAAATAAAATTACAAGATTTGATAAGGAATGATATGCCCTTTATTATATTGAAAATACTTTTGTACGAGTATTTACTATTTACAAGAAAGAGTATAAATGGGAGGAGACTTTGAAGGATCCCGTAGCTAACGGCGGGTTCGTTAGACCTGGTGCACCTTGTATCTACAGATTTCCGATTATAGTTACAGCCCTCGCTAGTGGGAAGGTAGAACTAGCATACAGTTACAATTTTTCCCTCGAGTAGGGACCTACAGTTATATTTGACTCCGTTTACGAAGGGATCCACACAGTGATATAGATTACATGATCTTTTCTTGGAAACCTCCCAAACGCAAAGATTTGATATGACACAGTGTTCATCAATTTTATTACTGAATTGTCAATTGAATTATATTACATGAAAAACATGATGAGACTGAAAATTGTTTAATGTTTTTAAAAGGGCATTTTTACGATATTTTCTGTTTGATATACTAGCATGTTTTCTGACTTGTTCCCAATTAAAAACGGTTGTAGTTAAGTGTTATTACTCACTGAGCTAGCGACTCATTCCCCGCTAATTTTTTTTAACAGAGACGGCAGTTGACGCAGGCGAGGATTTCGTTAATTAGAGGCACAGGTTGATAGTTCTTAGTGAGCCTCGCACTTGTTCGCGTGAGCGGAGATTTTATTTATGGTTGTGGTCTTTTCTTTGAATTCTTAGAGTCGCTCCAAAGTCATTCTTTTAGTGTCATGAGTATTAGTTATTTATTATAGTCTTATGATGAGTATCGTTCTTTATTATCAAAGTTGGAGATAAATTAGTATTTCTGGTTGTTAGTGGGTTGATTAGTGATGGTGGAGACTCGTTTTGGTTTATTGATAAGTTGTCGATTATTTGGTATGAGATTAGGATGTTTGGTTGTTGATTTATGACAGAAAATTTTTTGGGATAGTCCAAAAACAGGGGAAACTTTGTCCGATTTTCTGAAAAATACCGATAAGGCTTACTTGGGAGCACTTGCTCCTAAGCGCCGGTCACGATCCTAAATTGGGTCGTGACAGTAAACCATGCTAACTTTCAAAGATTCTTAGACATGTTTACAAGGAAGCCACAGTCCTCCTCCTCACCATCTTAGAAAATTGTTGCTTCTCATACTCAACTTGTCCAGTTTACTTTATACCAAAAAAAAGAGAAAATAGAAAAGATCTTCTCCGGACTACTCTTTCTGCCTCTTCGAATGTAAAATCCCAAATTGTTTTTTGGCATATATGTCTATTTATTCTGAAATACCACGAATATCCTTACTTACGGTATAAGGTAAGGAATATGAAATAATAATAATAAAAAAAATTATTTGGTTAAAGCACACATGTTCTAAACCTAAACTAATCCATCAGTTTAATGTTTACAGTACGTACACCACCTAGTCATGCGTCTTGCATACATAATGTTGGTTTTGATTCAACTTCAAGAGTTTAAAACATACGGAACAGTATATATTCTTATCATAAGTCGAATGATTTGATGATTATCTAAATCTCAGATTGCATATATTTTGCTGGTTTTGATTAGATCAACTTCAAGAAATTTAAATTGGATGATAAAGAACAGTTTGTTATCTTTAACTTGCTATTCATGTTCTATCTTATTAGTCCATAGTCAAGGGGCACAGTTTACTGCGATTGCCAAAAATTGATTATAAATCATCGTATGATAAATTGGACTGTCACAACTGTTTAATTCAACCGACTCAAAATTGTTGACCAACAAATATGGAATTAGAAATGTTATTCTTCGGCCATAAATGCAAACCTAAAAGTTATTATCAAAATGGAATTAGAAACTACTATAAACGTACAGAATCGAAACTAAGTTTGAGTTACTACGTTCTACCGATTTGTAAGTGATTTAGATTATCAATTTGATCAAAAGAAATGGAAAAAAATAGATCAGAAGAATGTAAATCATATATAGTCTATATTTTTTATGTTTCTGATGTATTCAACTCATTACAAAAACGGGTCTTTCAGTATTGAGCTTTCGGTTGTCGAAACAAAATTGAGCTCCTTTGTTAGTGTTTGCAACAATTTTTTTGACATGTGAAAAAAAACTGAAATCACAAAATAAGAGAAATATTTTTACTAATCAATTGTGACTACAATTCTGTTTCTTCCTTGATTTTTCTCTCCTGATTATCTCCGTGATTCGAGGGCTGAAGCCACGTATTTCTCGAATATAGGACGATGCAGACCTCTTGGGGATGTATTTGATCTCCAACTTCTTGAACTATTTGATTGTCAAGAAGTATCCGCCCATATTTTGATCTCTTTGTGAATATCCAAGAGTTTATGGGATTTTTAGACATCTCTTCCAGGGAATATGTATCCCTTTATATAGGTGTGAGTTAGGGTAGCGTAGAGAAACCTCCAAGAAACCCTAATAGACCCCTAAGATTTCAAGAATCCTGTAGTATCTTAATTTAGGATTTGGCTTGATCCCTTAAAATTTCGACGTCTACAATTAGTTTTCCTGCGGTGCTTGAATAGTCGCTTATCTGAGCGCTTAACTTAAAAAAGATATCGGATGTATAATATATGTATAATTATTATATAATCTATGTATACCGGCGGAAAAATTAAACAGTAAATTCGCCGGCCATTTGTGTAAATATCCCTTTTCGTTTTCCCCCCATATTTTAGTTAAACAGATATAATCAAAACCAACAAAAAAAGATAACGCATAAGGCTTTCCTCTTAATTAATTAAACGTTACAAACGCGACATTTCCAACAAGTGTACAGAAACAGGCCAAATAACCTAAAGAAACCAAGTTGTTTCTTTATTGAATAACATACACATATTACTCCAAGTCGCACCAATTTGCTGATCAGACTTCTTCTGACTCGTACAAAAGATAAATTTCAGACTTCACAGGCATATATGGTGACTAAATTGGCGATCTTCAACAACCACAACGGGTACAACAGGTACCTGGGGGTGTTGGTTCACAACACCCCACACAGTGAAGACATGCAACGGGAAATCTGCTGCTCCCCAAGAGTACTGCATACACACGAATAGAAAAATACATGTGTATTAATGGCAATTATGTACGTATATGTCATATCCGCCTCTGTCTAGATTCACAATATTAATGTCACAATGACTTTTGATTTTGATAAGTGTCTAGTAGTACTATATATGTTTATAAATGAACGTAAAATATACCTCGAGGGGCTCTAGCTGCATCACATGACGATAATAGCAAAGGAGAGAGGAGAATAGCATAGATCACAAGTGTTATCACTACGGACCTTAGGGAGATTGAGAGTGCTGCCATTGCTTAACCTATACAGTATACTATATGAAAGTACCAACAATTTTGAGAATGATTTAGGTGTTGAATTTCGAGCAATGTCTACGGAAGTATTTATAAGAATTTTGACGTTGTGCACAGGGTTTAATATTAATCCTCAGTCTTAAATATTATTCTGATGATATCATTCAATATATACATTGTTTTGGTACTTATGATACTTGGTATGAAACCGTCGACTTAATCAATGGACGACCACATTTAGTCCAAAATAGTAGAATTTTTTAAAAGAAGAATAATGTCTGTCAATTAAACATGATTAACTAATTTTTCTAGTTAATTTGTGTTTAATTGAGACACGTTAGGCTTTTTTATCAAAAGAGTCTTCCTGCTGCTTACTTTTCTATTTTAACAGACTTTCTGCCTTGTTCTAAACTTTAAAATAATGCTTAGAGACGACCTTGTAAAGTTTGGTCCCTAAGTTCATTAGATGAGTTTACTAGGTCTTTATTCAGAATAGAACAAGAAATTTCCATCTTTGTTATAAATAGAATTGTATTTATGGTGAATGTCTATATTTAGAGAGATTCTAGGGTTCATTGCTTGGTGGCTAAGTCACCCTCTCCCTATAAATGGAGGGTTCTATTCTATTGTAATTCATCCCAAATCAATAAAAATTATCTCTCTCTCTTTCTTTGCAATATTGTTCTTGTTCTTTAATTGTTTTATAACACGTTATCAGCACGAAACTCTAACCAATTGAGTAGAAGCTTTGGGATTGAGCATAATGATTGTCAATTATTCCATGAAATTCCTTCATGATTAAATTCTGGATTTAAGGTAAGTATTTTACCGTATTTTTCTCTTTTATTCTATACTTTGATTTTAAGTACAAGCAAAGACAACAAAGTTTGATTATAACTCTAATGGAGTTTGTAAGAAATTATAACCACCTGAAGTGGTAAAATTTCTATGCCTCGCCATGATCAAATTCATGTATGATTATGGGCACAAAAAGTGGAAATCCCTCCCATTGAATTTGCTCTATTCTCATTCCCTTAAGAGAATGTGATAGCAGTATGTGATAAGTCTGAAAGAAGACAAAATTATCACTATAAATATATCAATGGATGTGGACGTGGCAATAGACGAAATTATAATCGTCATCATTGTGATAATGAGAATAATAAGGATTCTCAAAATAAACCTTCACTCTGTGAAAGTAATATTTGTCATCGATTTGACATGAGATTTTATAAAGCACATACAGATGACTATGGTCAATTCATGATGTGAATGTGACAACATCCGATTTATGAATACATATTCATTCTTGAAAGAATATGAACGTGCTAGTGGTAGTGAATATACCACACTCACCTCTAGAAGGAGGTTTGAGATGATATAAGAAAATAATGTCATTATTATGGCTTGAATGGTCATTGGTCACGTACCTATTGTACGCCAAAATATTTTGGTAATGTGATTATTAAAGAATAACATTAATGCAAGAAACATATCTTGCATATAATTTTGACCATGACTATAATGGTATAACTTTCTCTTTAAAAGAGATATTCACCATATGGATGTCGATAAATATGTGGTACTACAAAATTAATTGAGAACTCTGCAAGAGCCAATTATACTATTTTGGAGAAACACAATTGATTACCGATAAGGTATTGTGTTGTAGTAAGTCTCAAAGAAACTTATTCAGTTTCTAAAGTATTCGCGAAAGCGGTTGATTATATTGAGACTATAAATAAAGGAAAGATTTAATATTTTCTATTACTACAACTTGTAGCGGGGTAATATGTATGTGAAGGCTACCCGCTTTATTCTCCAATTTGTACTACATAAACAAAAGAATACCACAATGAAGTGGATATTTATTGATATAAAAACCCATATCATAATAAACTTGGAGTTTATTCATAATTGCACACATCATGGTGTAACCTGAAGTTTATCAATATTGATAATTTATCCAGTTGGCATAATTGGCTTAGCCATGTTAATTCAAGTATGATGTGCAAAAATAAAAGAGAATTACATGGGTAAATATTAAAGAACTAGAAAGTTCTTTACGAATTCTCTTACATTGCTTGTTCTCATTAATTAATAGATCAATTAAAATTGGGATTGAATCCCATGAATGCTGGAAATATCAAAGGTGAATATGGGCCCATTCACCTGCCATGTATACCACATAAGATGCATCTATGAGATGGTTACATGTGCAATTATTATTAACCCGCAACATGGTGTTTTGCGAGGTAACTTGCTCAATAATTTAATTTCGAGCATAATTTCCAGATTTTCTATTCAAGAAGTTCATCTTGATAAGTTGGTTTACATCATAGTTGGTTTAGCAAAATGATTTGTTGAGTGCCTCCACTTAATAGTTAAACTTATCGCTTATGAGAACAAAGTTATCTATATCAGTTTGATATACGTTATATACGAAAGTATATTATTTTCTCCCCTCACAAGTGGTTCAGGGTCAGGAATAATTCCATCTTATTATAATTGATGTGCGGTGTATATTTTGATTAACACCATAACGCACAAAGATGGGTTCTCAAAGTTGAGGAAACAAGTTAGTTTTTCTAACATGAGGGGGAGACATGATAAACAGTTGAGAAAAAGTTACATGGAATGAATTATTATTTATACATCTCGATCCTCGAATAAGATAATATGAACTTGAAGTTCATAAAAAGATAATTCATTTGCAATATATTGCAAAGCATGCCAAACGCATTTGCTGACCCAAAGAAAGTAACTATATTCTCGTTGCAAATGCTCCTATGAAGTCCTAGAAGGACAAAGTCTATGGTACGCTTAAAGCATATAGACAAATCGGTTTCAAATAAACTTCTTGATAAAGAAGATGAGCAAATGATCAAAATGATCATAATAAAGGAGGCAAGTGATCTAGAAGATCACATGACATAACACTTCATAAAATCTCAATTGAGGTTTAGGTACCTGAAATGAATGAAGAGATCTCTATGTTATGTCTTTATTAAAAATGTTGAAACCGATATAAAATGTTCGTCGACGACATCTATGATACCGCTAAATATATATGAGGATCTTAAGTCTGGTGAAATAATTTTGAATAGAATTGGTTTCATATGAAAGACATGTAGTTTTGAACATGCATGTAGTTCAAACACTTGAAAGTATAAAGTCAATGGTATGTGCAATCAGTTTTCGATATCTTATATGTCTAGCATGACATGAAAACTTGATATGCATCTAAAGTCTATTATATGGCTTATATGACTTAACAATCCCTGAAGGATTTAAATTGCTTAAAGCATATAGAATTCATGGTCATGAAGTACTACATCCTCAATGCAATTTGTGCACAAATGTATCTTGCTATAACTATATGCATGATAATATGATAGCAAGAGTTTTCACCTCTATGTGAAGATATTGAGCTGACGATTCCAACAAGATCATATGAAGACAATCCATCTCTATCAAGAATGATGATTTCAAGGTGCAATATATTCATTCAAGTTAATATGGCTGATTTGTTTATCAAATATCTACCAAAGATCTTTTGAAGATGGTGCATAAGATTGGAATGCAAATGCTTAAGGATGTAATGCTCTCATGAGGGGGAGTTAATACGCGTTGTACTCTTTTTCCCTTACAAGATTTTGTCCCATTGGGTTTTCCTTGCAAGGTTTTTAACGAGGCAACCAAAAGGCGTATTGTTAGATATGTGTACTCTTTTTCCTTTTCTAGAATTTTTTTCCCACTGGGTTTTATTTTAGTTAAGGTTTTAATGAGGCACATTATCTGTTGAATAGACATTCAAGGGGGAGTGTTATAAATAGAATTGTATTTATGGTGAATGTCTATATTTAGAGAGATTCTAGGGTTCATTGCTTGGTGGCTAAGTTACCCTCTCCCTATAAATAGAGGGTTCTATTCTATTGTAATTCATCCCAAATCAATAAAAATTATCTCTCTCTTTCTTTGCAATATTGTTCTTGTTCTTTAATTGTTTTATAACAATCTTCTTATTTTCTTTGTTTTTGCGTTTACCCTCAGTCTTACAATTGGTTTGCTGATATCATCCTGTATATTTACATTATTCTAAGTCCTATGATATAACGTTCCAATTAACTTTTTAGATGAATCCGGAGTCCAAAATACTACACTTAGGTTTTCAATTAGGAACTTGTCACACCCTTTTTTTTAACCTTAACAACCCTCTTAAAATAATATATTGGTGTTAGTGCATTTTCATATTAAAATTATAATATTAAAGTGCTTTATTTCTTGTAAGATAGTGGTTATAAATTGGCGAAAAAGTGGTCATTATTTTGGTGTAACTCTTGAACCACTAGTGCCATGATCTACCACTAATTACCCACTAAATGTTAAATTTTGTAACCAACAATCATGTTCTATAACTTTATTATGCCAGTACTTTGTTATTTATTTCATGGAAGAAATTCTACTCCTATAAAGAGTGGTGTTTCTTCCTTGTGTTTGGCGTGGAGAAAATATGGTAGTGTGTATGAAAAAAGTAAACTTGGTGTAGTGAAAAAGAGAGTTATGAGAAGGAGAAAATCTAAGTCTCCAATTTATTCTCTACAAAAGTGGGGGTATCAAGACAGAAGTTCACTCTCTTTATGAGATTGAAAGGTTAAAAAAATATATGGTTAACTCAAGCAGAGCAAAGGTAAAAATAATAATTTACCTTATATTTTTATTTATGTGATTATATTATTGTGACGACCCGGCCGGTCGTCTCATGAGTTACCACTCCGTTTTCCCCATTTCTGCTTCTATTTGCTTTAATTATCGGTTTTATATATGATCGGGTTGGTTTGGGTTCGGGTTCGGAAAGGTTTTGAGAAGGTTTGAGACACTTAGTCTCTTTTAAGAAAGCTTAAGTTGGAAAAGTCAACCGGATGTTGACTTATGTGTTAGAGGGCTCAGATGTGAGTTCCGATGGTTCGGATTCGGGAGATGATTTGGGACTTAGGAGCATGATCGAAATGTGTTTTGGAGGTCCGGAGTAGATTTAGGCTTGAATTGGAGAATTTGAGTTTTTGGCGTTTTCTGGTTGATAGGTGAGATTTTGATATAGGGGCCGGAATGGAATTCCGGAAGTT